TGAGAATGGAGCATGTGGTTAGGCTGACAAAACCAACAAGGCAGGCACTTCTTTGAAGAAGGTGTTTTACTGCTTAAATAATGATGCTAGGGAAGGGTTAATAGGGGAGGCACATTGATTGTGAACACTCTTAAAAAATATGTCTGTTACAGAAAGAGTTGGAGCCAACTTTCAGAACAGCCAATGATCTCTTCATCTATAGAGCTACACAATATTACTGCAGTGGCTTTATATGAAAGCATACATAGAAATATCTGTTATTTCCCCCAAGCATCTTTCATTCCGTAGACATTTTGTTTCACTTGGAGGATGGTAAATTTTGCTCCCTTTCTGTGTTCTTTGTTCTCAGTGGTCCTTACAGGGATCTCATACATTTTAGGATTGTCTGGAAACACTGGAGACTGTTGGGAGCCTCGTTGGCCTGGATGCAGGCCAGAAAATATATTGCTGAATACTGAAATCACAGCATCTAAGATGATTGCTGCAACCCCCTCATCCCTTTGTTTTGGCTGAAACTCTCCAGTGCCCTGGAGGTATCTACTGTGTTTAAGTGGCTGGGAAAGTAGAAAATAATAGCAGCTCATAGGTCAATTATAACATAGCATGAGAAACTCAGCCACATGTTATAAAAATTAAAATAAACCAATTAGACTTGTCTGCCTGAATTCACTATAAATGAGGGACAGCAGGACTTAGGCTTCCCAATTCGACCTGAAGGCAGTAATCATTCAATGGGCAGTTTGCTTCTGTGGGAAATTTTCCCTGATATCCCTGGTTCAGAATGGCTGTTCCACTATTAGTCAGTAATTTTGCCTTTTTCAAAAAAAAAAAATCCCTACTTCTGTTAATTTAATGGCCAAATCTTGCTTCAAGAGCTAGCTGGCTTTCAGAGGACAGCTTTTATGATTGTGTTTTGTGGGCACAAAGCACAGAAATAATCTAGGTTATTTCAGCATCTGTTATCCAATCTTCAGATCTATACTTTTTTTTTTCCTTTTAAAATTCTAGAAGGAACATTTACTGTGTATTCCCTTCCACTGCAGAAATCCAAAGCACACTGTGCTTTGATTAGTTTTGTGCTGCTCTGTTATACATGGAATTATCTTCAGTTAACAGATCTGTTGCGCTGACTAATCATAATTACATCTCATGGAATAATTACAAGTACTGGAGAGTTGTGTTAGCATTTTTTACAGAATAAAGAACAAATAGCTTATATTCAAGAAGAAATTACTTCCTTGAACTCAGACCTTCTCTAATCTAGAAAGTGCTTTAAAACTGAGTGTGCAGACTTTTATGCACTCCCTCACTTGCTGCAGTAATGATCCTTAACTCCACAAAAGAGAGTAATTCCATGGAAATCACAAATCTGTGTGTTGCCAATCAGATACCAGTTCAAAGCACGACAGAAAGGCTGATCCAGAACTACACAGGTTTGCTTGTTCTCCACTTTGTAGAGAAGAAAGGGATAAAGGACGCACAGCCCTTAAATAGTGCAAACCCATTTCACTGCTTCAGGAGAAGCTTGTTCTCCTAAAGGAAGAAATGTTGCCTACTTAGTTAAAGGTCAGAAATTCAAATTTTATCTTTTTTTTTTTTTTTTTTCCAAAAAATTTGGAAATGGCTCTTAGCTGGTGCTTTGGCCAGGGACTGGGTCATAAGCATGAGGAACACAGTGTAAGGGAACTGGTTGTTCAGGATCTCCAGAAGCCTGGAGCAGGTAGCCAGCCAACAAATCTGCCTCTGCCCTACTCCAACTGATCCTCATCTTCACCTTCACTGAGAAGACACAAACTACTCTGGGTATACTAAAGTCCTCAAGCTTTGACTAAAGAAAACAGATGCCTCACCTCAAACAGAAAGCAAAGAGACTTTTTTTGCCACACAAGTGCTTGGTGACAATCACATGCTGACAATAATTCCCATTCAATGTGCAGAAATTGTGATTCTACTTCATTTTGCACCTGAGCCTTGCAACACCACAAAAATAATAAAAAAGAGCAGCATCTGTTAATCACATGTAACAATCTAAGATTAAGAAGCTGCCAGGCAAATGCTTCTGATACCTGTTCAACTGAATCTCCTCAGCATCTCCTCTCACCTCTGAAGTGCTGAGAAAGAGGCATGAACTAACTTGAAACACGAACATTTTCAGCTGCTGGAATGATAACCATACACACACTAACATTTGCTTAAACGTTGTGATTTATGAGTTGTATCAGAGTAACTGACAAGCAAGAAAACATCTCTATTTTTTGGTTCTTTTTGAACACTGTTGCAAAGACTGGGTTGCTGTAGAAGTATCTCTGGTTTGGGTTTGAATTTTTGGGTTAGAAATGAAAACCAGGCATATTGGGAGCATTATTACATTTCTATCTCTGATGGGCAAATCTGCACATTAGCTTACATAAAAACTTCACTTGGATGTTCCAGGTAATTCTTACACTTGTCAGAGCACTAGCAGGTATTTCTGGGCCACTGAAAACGAAGGGGTCTTGAATACATTTCCTAAGTTATGAACCACACTCCTATAAGCATTCTGTGTTTCACAGAGCATGAAGTACCTCATTAGAAAGATCAGAAGCAGCATCTAAAATACCAATTTCCTCCTTTGCTTAGGGCTGTGATTTGTGGCTCTTATCACTTGTAATTAATTTATATTCTCTACCCCTCCCTGTTTGCTGGAATTTACTGTTTCTTAGAAAAGACAGCAGACTGGTAATGGGCCTGTTCTTCAGTCACTGTAATTCACACACTGATGTATTAAAGTGAAATTGAAAGTTGATGGCAATTCTAGTTGGTCCATTAATTTGCAAACTGCAGCAATTAAGAATAAAACACATTCCCTTCTTCCTCTCCAGCTATTCAGGCAGAACCTCTGACACAGGGCAAACTGCAGCTCAGTCCCACAGAAATTCTGGGTTAGAGAATTAGAGTGAAAAAAACCAGTATTGTATTTTGGAAGAGTGGTCTTTTTAACAAGGAACCACTTTAAATAACGAGAATAACATACTGCAGTATTTTATGTCTTGTTAGCATAATGTGGGATGACATCTGCAAAAGCTGCAAGTAGCTTCTTTATCCCTTGGTAAACTATCTGTCATGAAACAGGGCTTTCCTATTTGGCTACCACACACCAAATTAATCTTTCTATTTCAGTCTCAATTTGAGCAGGAAGTTGAATAATAGAATTTTACCAGACAGTTTTCATAGAGGATTTGTTAAAAATAAAGTAACTTCCTCCTGTTCCTGTCTCTAAATACTAGCTATTACTTAATTAAAAAGAAAAAAAAAAGTATTTGTATAAAAAATACAACCATACAGCAAAATTATTTATACTAGAAGTTACCTACATTAGCCATTCAACATTCATCATTCTAAAGCAGATGGCAGTATGGAACCATTAATACTCTTCAGTTATAAAACGGGACTCGCTCCTAATCCTAAAGACAACAAAAAGCTTTTTAAATGGCTGTTAGAGAAGGGAGGCCAAAATCAAGTCCTAAAGTGTTTTGAGACAAATATGGATATTCTTGACTCCCCCAATGTCTGGGCATAGGAGTAAAGGGAAAATATGCAACAGTTTCTGCATGTAGGTGAGGCAGAGCAGCATCTGCTGGAGAAAGACCATTTCCTGGGCTCTTAACACAGAAATATTGCTTGTGATTTTCTACCTTTCAGTATGATTTTATCATAAATCCAACTGACAGGTGTGCTCTGGCTCAGGCTGTCAAAGACAAGATGCACAAGCTCATACGTACTGTAAGTGCAGAGGCTTGAATAAATGATTTGCATCAACTGTACTGATGTTACACCAAAATAATGTTTCTGAACCTTTCAGCCCACCATGTGTGTGGGAAAATGGAAAATTTGCTGCTTTCCCATTAATAGCCTAATGATGTTTTTATGAAAGCAAATGTAAGAAGAACTACGTGAAGGTTGTGGTTGCAAACTAATTATTCAGGCTTTGTTCTGTAACCTTTCTGTAACCCTTCTAGATTTACTCTTCCTCTTCCCTGCCTTTTTTTTTTTCCCACTCTCTTCACTCCTCTTACTTGCTTGTGAACATGAGATTCCCTTCATATTTTTAGTGTTTGTGGAGTTGTGGGTTGCTTAGCCCATCCCTCAAGTCCACAGGAGCTTTTATGGGTCTCCAGAAGTTTCATGTGGTGGACAGCTGCTGTCACTTGGGATTCTTTAACAACTTGAAGGAGAATAATTTATGACATCAGTCCAAACCATCCAACTCCTTTTGGGGATGTCAGCAGGAATTGATTGACTATAACCCATTAAAGAGCAAAGCATGCCAGACTGCAGGGAAATACAGAGAGCTGCCTCATCCTATTTCTTGGTGTGCTGGAGTACAGAACACCATCTCTTGTAGAAAGGTATTAATAGATACATACAGGGAAGATTATCCAGCAGTTTCTCACCTCTGTAACTCCAAGGGTCATGTTCCAAACATGATGTAGTGAACTAATCATGCTGACAGTTGTCTCCATTTCTCAATGATTAAATTAATGGCAAATCAGGCTCAGAATCATGAAGATGACACAACTACATGATGTTACTCGTCTGGTGAAATCAGCACAGCTCATTTGTCACTTCACACCAGCCATGGCACGGGACATAACAAATATTGTACACTGGGGGAGGGTGAGCAACACAACACAGGAATTAGGAGTAAAATAAGCAATAACCTTGCTTGTAATTGTATCAGCTGTTAGGTATTCCAATCTTTTTTTGGATTGTGTAGTTGCCAATTAATTCTCCCAGTAGAGCTGATTGTCTGCTACTTAATAACTTCCCAAAAGCCAGAGCTAATTGGGCAGAAGTTACGATCTTTTATAGGCAGAACTGCTTATTTATATGAGTATGTTTTGATTTTTGTGCCAGTATTTATTGCTTTGCATCAATAGATCTCTTTACTAAAACAGCAAAGAGATGGAATATCATTTTAATTGGCTTCTAAGATACACGATATGTGTGACTCACAACAGGAGGACTGTGCCATATGGACTGTCTAACTACAGAGGCAGCTTTAGAGGCAAAAGGTCTACAGGCCAGAGTCAAAGTACTTCCCAGTCTTCATTTCGATGTTCCTGTTTGGATGCTCAGGATGAACAGTGTTTGCAGTTTTGCAGAAGAGTGCAAGACAGAAGAAGGTGAGTACTTGAATGCTGCCACCTGTCTACATGATTTGACTATTTTGCAGAGATAAATTAATCAAGTTGCACTTATCAAATGGAACTGAGTAAAAACCACATTGATTTTAACTAAAATTCCCCTCTCCAGTGTGGAGGGTTAGCCCTGGCCAGCAGCCAAGCACTTACAGAGGTGCTTGTTCCCTTCCCCCCCAGTGGGACGGGGGAGTGAACAGAAAGAACAAAAGTGAGAGAACTCGTATGTCACCTCAGAGTTTAGCAGGTGAAGGAAAGAGGCCAGAGGCAGCCAGTACTGCTTGGAATTTTCATTTTGCTGTTCCTTTCCATGATGTGGTGTTTCTGAGAACACCAGATCTGCCCAGTTAGGAGCATGCTGAATATTGCACTATTCTAGAATGTTTAATCTAGTCTGACAAAGAGCATCACATTGTCTTTTTATGAATGGCTCCATAAGGGGACTTGATGAGAGCACATTTACAAACTTGGAAAATCTCTCTTCTCCAGAAATCATGGATCAATGAAAAAGACAGAGGAGAAAGACCAATGCAGGGAAGAGGAACACAACTTCATTCAGTAGCACAGAGAGTCTGGAGGATTCTGAACAATCAGGTATGGTGCAGATGTTTAATATTTAAAACAAATAGTGATTTTCCATAAACGTTCTTTGTATTTGCAGCACCCTTAACTCTTTTAATTGAATGTTATAAATAAGGGCAGAATTTGGCCCGAGTTGTTTGTTTGGGTTTTTTCCATATGTAATTTTTAAAATAACCTTTACTATGCACAGAACTACTACAACCTCCCTTGTGCTAACTAACTCCTTCAAAAGTTGGATTCTTTGGCTATAAGCCAATACATATTTTTGCCTTTTTTTTTTTTTTTTTTAGGGCAAGGGCTGTTCCTGTCTATCATGTTTTTGCTCATTTAGCACTGCAGCAACTTAAGCTACATGTCCCAGTGCAGTGCTTCAGTAAAACTAGAATTGTCAAGGTAAAGAAACAGAAAAGAACCTTGTGGAAAAAGCATCTGAGGGGAAAAATAAATCTGCTTTCGATAACAGATACAAAGAGATTACTGGGACCTAGCAGCCAGTTTCAAATATTTCCACTTTGAAATAAGTCGCACTATGACCCAAAGTTTTTTGCTATGAAGGAAAGCACTTGGATTAGGAGTCCTCAAGCTGGATTTATTGCTATGATTATCTGAGCAGAGCTAATCAGACAACTGTGCAGCGTTCATTACTCTGGGTACACGTAATCAAGGAGATAAACCCTTTTCTATCAGGTAACAGGCAGTTAGTGCTGAATATTAAGCAGTTTGGTTGTTGTGTTTGTTTTTTTTTTAAAGCTTTAACATTTATTTGCTGGAGCTCAGAAACAAGAACTTAAACTACAACTCTCCCTTGAGATGGACAAACTTGATGCTTCAGTGTGATGCCAGTGGAGAATTGAGCGATGCACCACTTCCATTTCAGCAGTGCCACTCTGAGGGCACGTGAACCTGCATGAGGAAGCTTTGTCCCGTGTTCCCCTCCTGAGAGTCTCAGTAAAGGATAATCTTTATCATGGAACTGGCAGGGAATGTATCACTAGTGAAGAAAACTTCAAAGGCAGATCCAAACTTCAGCAATGCAAAGTTTCAGGGAGCATTTTTTTCCTCTGTGATTTCAAAGAGTACAATAGAAACATACTGTTCCACTTTGTGTCTGAGGAATCCATCCACAGCTTTATGCAGGCAACTGTAATTGGAGAATGTGGTGAGCTAGAGAGAGATTGCCTCTACATGAGTTCTCATTCAGAATAAACAGATGCAAAATATTTCTCTTGTTAATGTATGCAAGCCTGAATCATCATATTGTAACTTCGTGGCAGATGTTTAAATGACAGTATCTATGCAGAATAAATATGAATGGCTAATATAAATATTATTATAAACTATAGCAAGTTAAGAGTATGCATTGAGTATTCAATAGATTACCTAATTTAGGCACAAATTATTCCTGCACTTCAAAGTTCCATTCAAAAACACAGTGATTATTTAAGGTTGCACTGTAGTTGGTGAACAGAACTTTAATTATTCAGCCCCAAGAATTTTCCTAAAGCTGCAAAGGTAGGACTGTGGAACTTCAAATGAAGCTTCATACAATCAGAGTAACTCAGATTTGCTGTTCTAAGCCCCTGCCCACGTTACCATCCACGGCACATACATTTGTCTCTGTTAGTACTACAAATCACACGTTTATCTTCATTGAAACATCATCAGTGAATAACTTGAAAACTTGGCAATAAGGATTAAATCCAACCCTGGACATTTTTCAATGTAAATGATGTCTTCAGAAATTATGGACTTCTTTTTGCTACGAGGATGCAAGAGTAAGCAAGGAAAAAAGAGTAACTTTTGCAAACCCTGTTCTATATTATTTAAGAAGAGAGGAAATCCCTTACTTGTGACAAATTTTTTTTGGGTTGACTGACCTTCATGCAGACTTTCCCCAGGGCACATAGGTTAAACTATAACCCCATGACAATAAATTATATTTTATAAGAAGAAAGATGGAGACCAAAAGAAAAGTGAAAAGAAATCAACAGTACAAATGTTTATATAGGGCTTAAATCAGTGGTAATAGATTTTCTTCGAAACAAGAAAGGGAGCTCTTTGCCAAAACATATGATATATTTTATATATATGTGGATATATTTCATAAATAAATTATTACAGTTATAAAATTAAATATATCTTTCAGTTATTGCATTTGTATCAGTTTCTTACTTGCTGTATAACTGATTTTGTACGTTTATAGAAAATAGATTATTTATTTTATAAAACCACTTCACATACTATTTTCCCGTATTTTTTTTAAAGACACTGTATAGTTTTGGGGATTTTTTAAAAAATAATCAAGCTCTGTTGTGAAGAATACATAATGCTCCTGATGTTGCTTTATGACCACAAACTGGAAACTTTTTCCCCTCAGAATTCATACATCCAGGTCACACAACAACTTGCCTTCTTCAAGACACTGAGAGTTCTCCTACAGCAGTCTGAGAACTATGAAAATATAATAACATTCCATGATAATAACCGTGTATAAAAAGTGACACTACAATTTTGTGTCCCTTTTGCTCTAAATGTAACCACCCAGGCCTAATCCTGGGATAAACCCCACAAACAAACTGGGCTCTTCCTTTGACATGCAGGTAGATTTAGCCCTCGAGCAGTGGGCTACAGGTGCTACTGTTGCTTTTTCCTCAAGAAAGAAAAATCCAGTGTTTTTCTACAGGAAATCCACTTTCAAGTGGTTTGGTTTGGGGACTCTGCACAGCAGCTGAAAATATCGTGTCAATGTACAACTAACAGTTAGTGCAAAAATCAGTCCAATGTGAATACACCAAAAGAATGAAAATGAGAAATAATGTTATATCAAACTATCAGACTCAAAAGAGGGAAAACTTCAAAGTTTACTGTAGATATTTCCAAATAAATCCCTAAGCCACAGCGTATACCTGAAAGTTCTATGTGCTGGATTCTGACATTGAACTACCATTATTCCATCTGGGAACAGTTAACAACCATGAGATACTTTTTACCTAATTTCATATGTTTATAGAAAATGTCAGCATTAATATTCCTCAGCTCTCAGTGACTCAGTTTACCGATTTTTAATTTTTAACTAGAAGGTGTTAAGCTAATTTGAAATACATTTCTTAAAAATTATCCACAGAATTAATTTCATATACCACCAATAAGTGTTTTGAACTAAGAACTCTTAAAATGTGATAAATCATAAAAGGATTATTTGCAGAAGTTAGAATTAAATGCTCTTTCAACATATAACATTAGCACAGTGAGGTGTACTGCAGAATTATTCTTAGTCTGGGATATTATTTTGAGGACATTTGTATTTACTTTTGTAAGAGAACAAATTAGTTCCAGCTCTTACTCCATATATGTCCAAATGTGCTCTAATTCTGTCAGGGTTCCATAGCTCTCATTCTATTTCCCAGTAACAAAAGTTCATTTTTAAATTGTTAATAGCAATAAGAACAATAAATGACCAAAGGCCTAGAAAACAATGTGGAAGGGAACCTTGGAAGAATTTAAGACATTTAGCCTCAAAGGAGAGGAGATGTGAACACAGTTGTCAGATGCAAAGGGCTGAGAGAGAGAGGAGAGCACTGTTTTTTTCCCTGTGTTCCCAGAAGGAAGTACAGGATTTATGTTACAGCAAAGCCCTTCAGGCAAACTTATCAGCACGAGTGGGTGAGTGCCATGAAGACAAAGGTCTCCACCACTACCTCCACCTCTTAGGCTGTGCCTCATGAAAGCCCCAGGCTTTGACATGAGTGTGGAAGGAGCCCTGTCCTCCTCCAGAGCTCATCTTGTTTCCTGGGCATTAAAATAACTAGCTCCTTGTTCCTGTGCCTGCTTTTGGGGACACCACTCTGTTGCTTCTGCTGCTCCCCACACAGAAAATGCTTGCAAAACCTGGGAGCTGAGTTCTTCTGTAGATCCTTATCCTGTTATGTCATCCCTATATTGATCCCCCATTGGCAGCATCCGGCATCTCACACGTACTCAGATGCTGTTTTTAGGAGCTGGCTTTCAGAAGAGCTGGACAAAAATAACTCTGCTGTGACAGATTGGTGAGGACAATCGTGGCAATTTGATGTAAGGTGATTTAAGAAGACAAAATCGTGTGTCTTGATATAAGCAAAATGGAGGCTAACATAAGTAAGGCTGAATAATGCAGCTAAAACTAATCATTAGAAAAGGAACAAATTCTGTCCATATGAACATTAAACCTTTCAATCCTCAGCTTGAAATCTATTGGAAGAGTAATCAAGCAAAATTGCAAACAGATGACTCTGGAAACAATGTTTGTTTTCACTACTGGAGTTTTACAATGCAAAAGATATAACCTGATCTGGAGAGCTTTATGCTACAAAGAAATGTCAGGATTGAGAGATTTCAAATTCTAAGCAAGTTAAACAGAGCATATTGCACTCTCTGTTTGCCTTGCAGTAGTACCTTTCCAAACTTTGCTTAAAAGCACATTTTAAAGAGTAGTTTGACTTCCAAGATTTTCAGCAGTGCTTTAGAAGGCAGATGTGCCTTGATGTGCACTTCAAAGGTATCTCTGCAGATCCATGCTGATAGTTGGTAGCACAACTGAGCTTCAGCAGGGGCTTGGGCTGAGGTTCAAGTCTCGGCTCCTGTTCTGCCACAGGAAACACCTCCCTGAAGCCTTGGGCTCTTAGTAGGTTTTAGCCCAGAATGGCCCCAGTGTCCACATGGAACACCCCTCCTCAGATCTAGATTAGTTCCCTTGTTTTATTTCAGTATGATCCTTGTGCATTTTAGAACAGACCAGGGTGCTGGTCATTTCCTGAATGTGCCACTTTCAGAAGTTAGGGACATGTGTAGGTCTGCAAACTCCTGCTGCACCTCTGGGTTACTTTAGGTATCTAAACACCTTTACTGTGAGCTATCATCAGGCACTGGTAAATGGATACCTTGGCTCACACTTCCTGCAAATGTCTCCAGCAACATAAATGGAATTGGTTGAAGTTCAAGTCCCTTAACAACAACTTGATTACAAGTCTTTGACATTCAGACACCATTTTTTCCTTTAAATATTTTTGTAAAAACCCTATATGGACAAGGTAATTTAGACACTAAAGGGCCAGTATGTTAAACAATGAAATATTCTTATAGAATGTGAGAGTTTCCTTTTTACTGCTTATAATGGAAATTCCATTAGACAACAAGTCCCATTTATTAACGAATCATTTCTGCTAAAGCTGTTTCACAGAGTGTCAACCAGCTCTCCCTTGAGTTAGTGACTATTTATATGTTTCATTAATTATACTTTTACCATACCTGTCCAGGAATTATTTGTTCTACTGCAATCAGTTAAATAATGGTAATTTTTATTTTCATAGTTCATTTTGAGTTAGCAGTCTTGTTTTTATAATTATTCCTCTCACCCTCCCCCCTCAAAGAATTGACTAAATGTGGAAATGCTTCAGTGTCCCAGTGCTCCCCTTTGGTGTTCCAGACCTGGCAATCCATATGGCTCTGGAGGTGAGCTGCCTTTGGGGTGAGTCCTTGGCTATGCAAATACTTTCCATGCAGATGTGAAGAGGGTTGGAGCCTTTTGTCATTAAAAAATAAATGTGCAAACTATTGTAGCAATATAAAAGATATATTGAATGGCTAGTGCATGAGGTGAACCACATAACTAGAGAAAAGCAAATGCAAAATCAAAGCCCAGAGGCTCCATTAGATTCCTGGAACTATGCATATGCTTATGCAACTGTGATACCATTAAGATGCAGTTCCCAAAGGGATGTTTTTTTAAATCTGTACCTTGTTTCCCTGTATCTACCACAGAAGAGGAATCCATTGGTTTCACAATGAAGTCAGTTTACATCCCCTTCTGGTGTCAATTTGAATAGTCACGGGTCAGCTCAGGGTCACGTTTTCAGTGTTTTATTTAAGATACTGCAACTAAGATCCAGATTGAACCTAAGCATTTGAATTCTTCAGTGTAAAACCTTTCTTTACACAAATCTGATCATGAATTAATACGTTCAAAACACCTGTGCCAGATCCTGAGGTTTGTCCTTGATTAACATTCTGTCTTTAAGCCAAGTTCCAAAGAGATTGAACACTCTGTATTTGGAGAAGCAGAGAAGAAAAAAAAGAAGACTTAAGGGGAGGAAATTCTGCATTAGAGTTCAATAACCCCTGAATCAGAATTCTGATTCTGCTACCTCATTATGGGATCTTGGGCAAATTGCTCTTATTGCAAACA